TGAACTTAATTTAACCCTTTGACGATAATATTTTAAGGAATTGATGGAGGCGTATGCACCCTGTATAAAATTGCTTATCTGATTTAAATGTGTATTTTAATGAAAATATAAAACTTTTACATTTATACATGTTACATTTATGTTCTATTTTTAGTTACAAATAGATGTTATTGAAATCACTTTTCTTCCTGAAGAAATATCTGCCATTAATATTATGTTATTGCACATATATAAAAATGAATTTCTGTCTGTCTGTCTGACCCTTATAGACTCGAAAACTACTGAACCGATCGGCGTGAAAATTGGTATACAGGGGTTTTTGGGGCCGGGAAAGGTTCTTATGATGGTTCGGGGGGGGGGGGGGGGTCTTCCATACAAATGAAACAGAAATTTATGCATAACTCAAGAACTAATCAAGCAAATGGAATCACATTTGGCATGTGGAGGTATAAGGAGATGTTCATAGGGGGTAACCCCTTAGATAAGAGGGGGAAGGGGTTACGTACAATATAGCATGCTTTTTTGTATTCGGCGCAAACACTAAAGCTTATATTGAATCCCGAACAAGGCCGGGCACTCAGCTAGTATATGATAATTATTAGTTTTAAACAAAGCCTCATAGCCACAAAAATGATTGAAAAACTTTCCTACAGTCCATTCCACTGTTACAACATATACATTCTCGTTGACTTTAAGCAGATTTCTTATCTCATACAGATTTACATTTTGTACATGTGTTATTGTAAGAAATGATCCTGGCTTGTGTAAAGCGCCTTTATATTTAATATTATCTGATGAAAAAACTTGCAAAGCAAAGGTCAAAGGAACTGGCAACTGAGTAAAATATGTTTGATTTGATAGAGAAATTTTAGAAAAATTCCCCAACACATCCAATTTGAAAAATGTCTTATTCAATAGATTGTGTGTGAAATCTAAACTGGCTTTGATGGCAAGAGTATAGCATATGTTTTCATCTGGATGTCGTTACATGCGCGTATTCTTTGAACATTGTGTGCTTTGCTTCTTGTCTGAAACACATCATTTTGTTTAAAGGGCCAATTTTTTCTACAACAGTGCCGTAATGTAACGTAAAATGATGTTTTGGTTTCAGATTTTCATTGAAATTATTTGTTTATAACTGATTATTACGACCTGCCGTTTTTTTTTTTCAAATCATCTACATCATTTGGACTAAATGACGAACTAAGAATTTTATCGGCTAAAAGTACTCGGAAACTCGCACTTTAATCAATCTTATTAATAAGAGAAAACGCGCTTATTTGTCATGTTTGGTGTGAAATGTAAATGTGCAATATCAAATATTGGATATAGTGAGTGGGAATAAAAAAAAATGTAAGCTATACTACCTTTAGATGCATCAGGAGCTACGAGCGTTTCGTAGAGCTGTTTTGATTTTTCGTCTGAGTATGGTCGATTTAGAAATTTGATAAGTTTTGGTAAGTCTTGTTCAATCAATGCTAGTCCATTTGGTTTACCAGCCTTGAGCATACAAAAGTCCTTGTCGATCTAAAAAAAATGATATACATAACTAATATTATTCTAATCAACAAATACCTGAGATGTATCGGAATTAACAAACATTGGAATCAGAAGTACAGCAGCAATAAATTTAACTGTCATTCGGGTTGAAACTAAATGTTCAAGTACCCTATGGCAATAGTGATCCACGAATTGGAAATACAGCCTTAAACTTCTTAATTTACATTATAGTAAACGTTTTTTTTTTATTCTTTATTACTAAGATTTCAAGCCATATCATATTATAGTAAAATGTACTCTTTAGGAAGTTATTTATAAAGCTTATGTCTACGTTAAAAACCGTGAAAACTTATTTTGAGCATGATTTAGTCTGTATGACCAATTGGGGGAGCACTATTCCCATGGCTGGCATATTTTCATTACATATTAATATTGTTGTATACATAATCAAACTTACCAGTTGAAAACCAAATGCGTCCTTGTAGTGTGGCAAGTTTTCCAAAAGCATTAGTATAAAATTAGCGATTCTTTCCGTTTCGGAAATGTTTCAGACCATTTATCCAAAAACAACACTCCATGGCTGCCTGTTCAGAAATAGCCAATCCATAGCCTCATGAACGGCTGATGACTCTTGAACCACATCTTCAATCTGTTATTGCTTTGCCAGGAATTGATCTTCTGCTTTCTCTCGGTTTCGCTTCTTCTGTTTCAAATTGGTAATCTTGTTGTAGAGTTTTCCGCTAGGATTCTTCTTCTAACCTTTGCGGGAAACAAAGTGATCCTCCTACAAATGTAAACAGGCATTTAATAAAAATAAACCCCACAATTGCAGGAATTACCTTAATCTCGTGCTGAAGACAACATACGATTACATCAGCATAAGATTCCAGAATTAGTTCAGTCAATTTTAGTCCGTGCTTGATGTGATAATCAGCAATAATTCCTGCTAGTTCATTTTGACTGGTTTCCGAGAGAGGACCCTTTTTCACTCTTTCCAGGATGACTTCTCCAGATAACGAAGTACTTAGCAATTTCTTCAGTAAAGCCGGATTGAAATGTTCCACTTCCTTGGTCACAACAACCGGTGGGCAGGTATATTCTTCTCTGATTGGTGTCTCGATGTTTGCACGGGTTTCGTCTGCGGGTACCAGTTGTATGGATGGACTGGACACGGGGTTTATGCTTAAAGGAATTGCTGTTGGTTCTGCAAGCACTTCTTCATCGACTGGATGACTTTTGTCATCTCCGTCCTGTGTGATCGGTTTTACGTCGATTGCTGGGTTGCAATTCTCACTTTCTCCAAGATCAGAAAACCGTTTCGTTATCCACACATTCAATGTTCAATGACTTCAAAACTCAAGATTTCATATCCCTAGAAAATATTATTTTATTACAAAGATATAAATGTTGCATAATATTTTATAATTTACCTTTTGCGATCTCCATTGAAGTAGCCTTTGGAAGATTTCATCAAAATTCCAGTTGGTGAATGATGTGGATAAGACTAATGTTAGCTCGTCTAGAGTAACCGTCGATAATTCGCTCACCGAAAGGTCATATACTGGTATCAAAAGAGTAAGAAATTCATGTTTCATTTGTGGGTTTGGAACATAGACTTTTCTTATGTTTTTCACGAATTACAGCTAATCCACGCAAATGAACAACACTGAGAGCAAAGGAGAATCTCCTTTTGCAGATGATGTTTTTGATTTGGATAAATCAATTTTGATTTGCGACGGTTATTGGCCAGCAAGTTCTGAGAATTCTTAACGAGGAAAAAGTGTGAGAAAATAATTGCATTTACCTTTCCACAGCTCCAAAAACTCAACAGGTAGTTCCAATTCGCCTAGAATAGCCGCTTCCAGCTCTTGCGATATCCATTCGTATATTGTATCGAAAATGGCTTCAGTGCACTGAAAGCCGGTTCAAGATTTCCTCCGCGGATATGGAAAACACTGACTGCAGATCTGTAAAAAACAGCTGTATGCACTTCTATGTACTTCACCAGTTATTCTTTTGATCATTACCTTCGAAAATATTGATTATTCCCGCGGGAAGATTTATAAGTTTCAACAAACACCTTAGCAATGTGACAAGATTCTGCAAATTTTTTCCGCTTTTTTTATAATTTAGGTACAATTTCCTGTTCTGACTAGCACTTTATACAATATAAACATTGGTATTATGTGTAAACACGGTTAAATTATTGCAAAGCGCTTTTGACTAATAAACGTCATTCGATACCCCATTGCAAAATAAAAGGCGCATGATTGACTTGATAACCTGCGCACATTGGGCTTATGTGCATGCTTGGCATACACAGTTGTACACACCAACTGCTCATTTGTTAATAACTTTTCACTCAGTTGTTGAAATTTGTTTTTCTTTAAAGTAATTGATAGATAAGGATTATAGCTTACTATAGATATGCAAAAAGTAGTTAAATCTTAACATTTGAATCAACACCAATGAATTTTTACTCTTAAAGTCCGAGATGTGCAGCGAGCATTTCTCACTTTATTTTTACAACGCAAAAACAAATACAGTTTATTTATAGAATTAAAATCTACTTTGTTTTATGTATCTATAACTAGCTTAAACTCTATTATATCTACTGCTTCAAAAAGAACGATGCTTCGTCAACTCTGTGCAAAGTTATTAGCAAATGAGCAGTTCGTGACTAAAACTGTGTATGCTAAGCATGCTTATGTGTGAGACTAATGGGAACTATATGCGAATAATAGTTTTAAATTGTGACCGAATGAAATCAATGAAGTGATGTTAACCATCATCTTATGTGTATAATATAATAACAATAACGTTTAATATATTTCCAGTGTATGAATCTAGGATTGGGTCCATCGCTAAAAATCTGTTATTTATCAATTTTATCTATAAGAACGCGTCATTGGGACGATACTAATGGATATTTTTGGTCGCTATTGAAAATTTAGTCGATTGCTGAATTTATGTATGGGCCCAAATTAAGGGCATTTAGGCCATCATTACATCCATTTCCCCTATATCAAGAATCCTTGGAATTACTCCTCTCGGGTAATTTTCATTGGAAGTTCTAGGAATTTAACTCAGTAATTCAGTGAGTTCCTTTGAGAAATTCAGAGATTCAACTCAGGAATTGTGAAAATTCATCTCAAATTTTGTAAATTCTGTGGAATTTAGAGAATTTTCTTCAAAAATTAATTTTCTATGACTACATAAATTTCCTTTTGAAGACTTCCACTAATTAATTCAGGGAAATTTTTTTAGTAGGAATTCTATAAATTCCCCTAAGGAGTTCAGAGAATTTATCGCAGGAACTGAAACGTTACAACTATTCTACTTAAACGCTCACAAATCAAATTAGATCATCAATCACTTTAAATTGAAACCATTTTAGTCGTCAAGCTAATTACGACAGCATAACCTCAAATATTTCCTTACCAATATTTATAAATTAAAGAAAAAAAATTACATAATTTCTATCCTCTTTGCCTTGACAGACTCTGAAAAGCGCCACATTCGACGACAACGAAAACCTACTGGATGACGAGAAATTTCCAGGTAATTACACGTGTCAAACTCGATTATGTTCCTACTCTTACAGCTCGAAGCAACAACAACAACAACAACAATAACAAAAAAAGCAAATCAATACCCATCGAATGTCAACCTTCCCACCACCAGAATTACGCAGGTCTCGTGTCCTCGCTTGTTACATTACTCCCCGCTCCGCCACCCCACAATCCTACAATACGCGGCACGTCAATTTGTTCAATATATTCGAATTTTCCACCCGGTTCGTTCCAGGAAACTACCCCCACCCCCCGATTGCCACCTTTCCAGAACATCGAATCAAATTTTCATTTATCCCCTTTTACACTCGTCTCGGGTGAGTGATGGCGACGGGTGGAAAATGTAAATCACCTCGAGAGTCTCGTCGCCAAATGACGCGATACATGTCTACGTTTCTACCGCCCCCTATCGAAGAAGGCGCCGTCTCCTAGAACCTCCCACCCTCGATGCCACCGGGGCCATGTCTACTTTGATGAATTATTGGGGGAGTTCGTAAAATGTGGCAGCCGCATTCCTTCTCTATTTACAAGGGCTTTTTGGCGGTGCAGTGAGTTCCGACCGATCATAAGCTGCTTCCGTGATTGACTGCGTCACAATTTGCGCCAATTTTCCGATTGTTTGGATGCAGCACGAAACGGTGCTCGGATGGAACGATTGCCCGAAAAGGGAATTACATTGTAAATGGGTTATCAGGAGCACGGAAATTTCGGGATGTGGGAGAACAAATCGCATACCTTTCTGAATTTCTATAGACCTTTTTGACGTTTAATCATCTTTCTCTATCTAGCACACATGGATGAATGGATGGTTTGTTTTCCCACTAATCTGTTTCCCTCTTGCTCGCACTCGTTCGTTTTAAATGGCTATGTTTCGAGGGGTGAATCGATTAGCTTGGAACCGAAGATAGTACCAGAGCTGAGCCAAAAAGTTGAGCACGTTATTTCGGGACCTTCTAGTCTTAGAGTTACCTCTATGGTATAACCAACAATCAATAAGAAACTAACGATTTTAAATTGGCTCACTACTTGACTAGCCTATTGGTCCCAAGCAAACGATTAACGTATCCCATTATAGTCGAAATTCTACTACTACACAATGTTTGTTTTGATTCGCTATGAAAGTTTGACAGATAAAACGAGGGGTTATTGGTTTTTCCTATGCTTCGAGGGGTGAATCGATTAGCTTGGGACCGAAGATAGTACCAGAGCTGAGCCAAAAAGTTGAGCACGTTATTTCGGGACCTTCTTGTCTTAGAGTTACCTCTATGGTATAACTAGGTATTCTCAAATGGTTCATCATAACAATTTCCAAAGTTCGATTAAGACTCTTATATTTTATTTTATTTTTTTCGAAAACATAGAATTGTTGTTAACAAGGAAGTATTCCACAGGAATTATTCAGGATTCTTACGACCAGTCCGCATCGTGCTCTCTTGCTTTCACTCTCTTTTTTACACCCGCTTACTTTGATGTTTTTTTTTCGTTGCTACGCGTACCGCGGTTACGCTCAGGGGTGGCCTGACGATTGACAGCGCGACTTCTTCTTTTTCTTTCCTTTATTTAATACCATTGACAGACATACAAAGCAGTACCGTTGTACTCCTTTAATCTAATACCTCAAAACGTACAATTTGAGGTACTAAAGGGTGTCCACGATGAAATTGCCACACACAAAATTGATTCGCAAAATTCGAGTTTTCATCCGATTGCCATCAAATTTTCAGGGATTGAGAAATAACTATTAAACTTCATTTTACCATTTTACTCGTATTTTATTTACAGTCCATACGCAAATGCCCGCACATTGGCCTTAACCCCGGCCATAAGATTCTGCACAACCTGTGAATCAACCGTTTTTTGCATGTAAACCCATACTTTCTTCAGTTCCTCGACTGTCTTCACTACGTTAGGTCGTTTAAGAAGGTGCTGCTTCATAATCGCCCAGTACTTCTCGATGGGGCGGAGCTCCGGAGTGTTGGGAGGGTTGAACATTTTCGGCACGAAATTGACCTTATTGTCCGCATACCACTTCAGCACGTCCTTGGAGTAGTGGCATGAGGCCAAATCCGGCCAGAAGATTGTTGGGACGTTGTGGGCCTTCAGGAGAGGAAGCAGCCGCTTCTGGAGGCACTCTTTTATGTACACCTGTCCGTTCATCGTGTCCTGGGTCACGAAAGGTGCACTCCGCTTCCCGCACGTGCAGATGGCTTGCCAAACCAGGAATTTCTTCGCAAATTTGGACATCTTCTGAGTGCGGACATGCTCCGGAACGCTGAACTTATCCTTGGCCGTGAAAAAACAGGTTGCCGGGGATCTGTTTGAAGTCGGCCTTCCCATATGTTTCGTCGTCCATGATGCAGCATTCAACTTTCGTCAGCATGTTGAGGTACAACTTCCTGGCACGGGTTTTGGCGGACTTGTTCTGCTTCTCGTCGCGATTAGGGGTCTTTTGTACCTTGAACGTTCGAAGCCCAGCCTTAGTTTTGGCCTTCTGGACAAAACTTCGGCTTAGGTGCAGCTTCTTAGCCACATCCCTAACGGAGGCGTTCGGATTTCGGTTGAAGGCCCCAACTACGTGGTTGTGATTTTTGGTGTTGTACGGAATACTTTTTCCTTCACTTCTGGGCTTCCGATCGGTGGTCAACCGTTCCTCGAACCGCTTAATCACTCGCGACACCGTGGAATTCGCGATTCCCAACGTTTTAGCGATGGAACGATGCGAGAGATCCTTGTTCTCGTGATGAATGCGCAAGATTTTATCACGCACGAGCTGTTCTTTCGACTCCATTTCCGAGAGTTTTGATCACAGGACTTTAAAACTTGCAGGATGTAAATAATGCACTATGAACTAAATCCATCCAAATTTTCATTAAATTCTACCCAACGGTTAAAAAGTTAGAGCAATTTCATAGTGTGGCAATTTCATCGTGGACACCCTTTAGCTTAAAGAAGTACAACGGTAGTACAACAGTGTACTTTGTATGTCTGTACAAGGTATAACGTTCCGCAATCTAGTGCCAATCACCGACATCGATTGCCATCCATTGACGGCAATCGAATGTGCAGGAAGGCAGCTTCCACACCTACGTAGGATATCGCACCCATTCAACTCCTCGAGTTTGTCGATCGGATCTTCTCAAACACTGTTGTCCACTGTTTTGATTTTCTTCTTCTTCATCATCGAAACCTGTTCGAAACCCAGGAAATCACTTTCATCCGTTTCATTGGCGTCTTCATACACTGATTCTTCATTAGCTTCTTCTTCGATCACAACTTCTTCTTCTTCACGTTGACCACGATTCATCACCACTTCACATCCATTATCAGCTGCCTCCTCTTCAGGAACATCCCGCTGCTTTCGGTCCTCATCGCACGTCTGCTCCGAACCATTGTGCAGCTCCATAAAACGTGCATCGCGGCTAATCCAAATCCGGTCCGTCTCTCGATCAAGAAACCAAATAGCCAACGAACACGAGCTTCTTCGCTTTGGGGTCGCCTTTCTTCCTTTTGTTGTCTGGTATGTGGACGTTAGCATCACACCCGAATACCCTGAATCGAGTCAAGTCTGGCTTCGATCCAGTCCACATTTCGTAGGGTGTGTGATCGACGGCACGGGAAGGCATTTTGTTCTGAAATATCGCTTCGACAAATCCGCGTCCAAAAGCATGCAATTGGCCATCTCTTGAAGAGAACGATTTTTTTCCGTTCCGCTACCCCATTCTGTTGGGGAGAGTAGGGAACCGTAAACTGTGTCTCGATGCCTTCTGCTTTATAGAAGTTCTGCAACTCGTGTCCGGTGTATTCACCGCCGCCGTCCGATCTAATGGCCCGAGGCTTCCGGCCAAAAAACGTTTTCAGTCCACCGTACATACTCACGAATCTTGTCTGCCGCCTTAGCCTTTGATTTCAGCAGGTAAACCACGCAAAATCTACTAAAATCGTCGATTACGGTCATGAAATATTTGTTACCGCACGGCGTCTGATGTTCCATCGGTCCACCCAGATCACTGGAGGGAACGGGCTCCGGGCTAGCTTCCCTCGAAGACAACACTCGCAAACGATCCGTTGACCACAGTCCTTTATTCCGAATCCACTCGCCAAATCCTTCGACTTGATTACGTTCATGACACTCGCATATCGATGGCCAAATCTTCTGTGCCAAGTGTGTTGACACTGATCATTGTGGTTTTCAACCACCACCGCCTTGCACTGCTCTGCCATCTTCAGCTTATACTGGTTACCAATCATTTCGCCAACTGTAACTACGACGCCATCCGCGCGGATCTCGCAGCAATCCACTTTAAAAATCACTGCAAATCCCTTCAGTGCCAATTTTCGAACTGAAATTAGGGCACCCTCGAGTGACGGCACGTACAAAACGTTCTCCAATCTGATTGCGATACGATTTCCTTCACCATTTACGCCGAAAAGAACGCCATTACCACATCCAGCTGACTTTGTTGTGGTACCATCAGCAAGTGTCACGTCGACAATTACTTCCCGTTTAAACTCATTGAAAAACTCACGGTCATTTGTCACACTGTCCACCGTCCAGGCTCCTGGAATTGCTCCACCTGTGACGAAACACACATCACCCTGTACCGTGCTCGAACTTGTTGATGGTTGCTCCGAGAGCTGCTCCACGGGTTTCGGCGTCGCTTGAACTTGCTTCGCTTGCTGTTCGCCGAATTTAGGCGCAGAATGACTGGCTTTCTCCTCCTTCTTGGCAGCCAGAAACTTGCGACTGTTCATTCGCTGATGACCCGGCATGTTACAGAAGAAACACTTTCGTTTGTCATTCTTTGGTTTAATTTCTGCTTTCAGAGCACGCTCCTCCTTACTGCTGCCTCCCGGCTGACTCGCTCGCTTTTGACATTCGTCCCGCATTCGAGCCACAACCAAATCCACCGTTAAGTCCTCTTGCGGACGGTTTTCCAAAGAGGTGACGTAACTGTTGAACGACGGTGGCAAGCTCCGCAACATCATTAT